ATTTACTTCTTCAAAAAAATTGTCTCCCTTGGAAGATTTTACATATCAGCATAAAATGACTAAATAGTAAACTCTTCCCTTGACAAATTAGAGGGCAAGATGGAAAGTGTAATTTAAAAGAAAGAAAATTAAATTTAAAATAAATAGGAGGGATTGATATAATTTTGAATGAAGACAGAAAGAAGCAAAAAGACACTGAGGAACAAGAGGGGGAAATAAGAACAATAAAAAGAAAAAATGAAAGAGAAAAATAAGAAGGAGAAAGAGGTAAATGACAGAAAAGAGGAGGAGAGAAGAGAGAGAGAGATAAAACAGGGAAGAAAAAAACAGAAAAAAGAGAGGATGAAGGAAAGGAGAAAAAAGAGGAACAAAACATAGGAGAAAAGAGAGAGGTGGAATAAGAAAAAAAGGAAACAAGAAGATGAGGAAAGAAATTGAGAAACAAAGATTATGAAAGAAATAGAAACGACAAAGAAAGACATGAATGAAGAAAAAAAGAGGAAAAGATAAACATGGATGATGAGACTATCGAAAAAGAAGACGAAAAGACAAAGACAAATGGAAAAAAGAGAGAAATGAGATAATAGAAAAAGAGAGACAAGGATAATTAAAACGACAGAATAAGATGTTCAGATAAAATAAAACAAGGGAGAAACAAGGATACTCAGACAAAAGGAGAGTGATAGTGAGAGAAAGATAATGAAAGGAGAGTGATAGTGAGAGAAAGATAATGAAAGGAGAGTGATAGTAAGAGAAAGATAATGAAAGGAGAGTGATAAGAAAAAGATAATGAAAGGAGAGTGATAGTGAGAAAAAGATAATGAAAGGAGAGTGATAATGAGAGAAAGATAATGAAAGGAGAGTGATAGTGAGAGAAAGATAATGAAAGGAGATTTAATAATTAGAAAAAGAAAGATAATGAATTTTAAGAGATAGTGAGAGAAAGATAATTGAAAGGAATTTAGTAAGAGAAAGATAAAAAACCTACAGTGATAATCAAGAGAAAGATATATGAAAGGATATTGATAGTAAAAAAAAGATAATGAAAGGAGAGTGATAGTGAGAAAAAGATAATGAAAGGAGTTTGATAATGAGAAAAAGATAACAAAAAAGCTTTATTTATGAGAGAAAGATAATGAAAGAGAGTGATAATGAGAGAAAGATAATGAAAGGATTTGATAGTGAAAAAAAAGAAAATGAAAGGAGAGAATATTCAAAAAGATAATGAAAGAAGAGTGATAGTGAGAGAAAGATAATGAAAAATTTTTGATAGTAAAAGAAATCCAATCAATGAAAGGAGAGTGATAATGAGAGAAAAATAATGAAAGGATATGATAGTGAGAGAAAAAAATGAAAGGAAAGTGATAGATAAGAGAAAGATAATGAAAGGAAATGATAGTGAGAGAAAGATAATGAAAGGAGAGTGATAATAAGAGAAAAAAGATAATGAAAGGATATTGATAGTGAGAAAAAGATAATGAAATTAATATGATGAAAAAAAGATAATAAAATAAAAATGATAATGAAAGAGAAAGATAATGAAAGGAGAGTGATAGTGAGAAAAAGATAATGAAAGGAGAGTGATAATGAGAGAAAGATAATGAAAGGAGAGTGACAGTAAGAGAAAGATAATGAAAGAAAGGAAAAGAGATGATGAAACAAAGAAAGAAAAAGAAGAAAGAAACAGGGATGTTGAGATAAATGGATGAAAATAAGAGCAACAGAAATGATGAGGCAATAGAAAATCTCCAAAGGAGAATAATGTAAAGATAAAATAGAGAGATAGAGACAATGATGGTGAAAAAAAGAAAAATAAGAGAGAGAGAGAGAAATATGAGACAAAGGAAAGAAAGGAAAAATGAGATAAGAATGACAAGGCAATGTAAAAGAAATAAGAGAAAGAAAATGGAAAGGAAGGGAGAGAGTCATGGTTGATGAGACAAAGGAAAAGGGGAGAGAATGTGACAAGGATGATGAGACAATGGAAAGGAAAAGAAAGAAAGACAATGGAAAGGAAGAGAGAGAGAGAGAGTTGAAGATGATGAGACAATAGAAAAGAATTTGGCAGATCAAGGTGATGAGTGATGACACAATGCTAATGAAAAGAAAAAAGCAAAGTCAAGGTTATGTGACAAAGAAAAAGAAAAAAAAAAGATGTGAGGCAAAGGAGAAAAAAGAGATTTTAACTTTTAAAAAACAAAAATTTAATATTTATGGCTTAAATGTAATTTAAGAAAAAAGGAAATCTGAGAGAAGAATCAAAGATGAGAGAGGAAAAAAATGAAATGAGAAAGTAAAGGGAAAAATAAAAATGGCCAGCAAAGGAAAGAACCAAGAAAAGATCATAAAAATGAAATCAATAAGTATTCATTAAATTTTGCAATCAAGTCACTTTCTGGCCTATCAACACCTTTAAGGGTCAGTCTTAAGTTGAAACAAAGCCAAATATCATTTTTTTTTTGTTTTGGGTTGTAAGGTAAAAAACAAGAAAATAAATAGTTTCAAAAATTACTTTAAGAACAGCTACAGACAAAGCCTAAAATGTCTGCAAACAAACGATAAACAGAAAATCACACATAAATCTTAAACAAGGAAAATGCTAACGAAGCAGTGTCATATTTGTAAACAATGATTAATCTACAAGGAGATAAAACCTTATAAAAAAAATGTCAACAAATGAAACAAAGTAGACAACTATTGCTGGGGAAAAACACATTTAGTCGTTTTTAGGAGAATCTCTTTGGCAGAGGAGCTGACAACCTATTACTGAATGAATGAAAGAAAGAAAGAAAAAGAAAGGACATATGAAGAATGAATAAACAGGATAAAAGAGGAAAGAAGAAAGTATGTCTTTCTTTCCTTTTAGAAAGAACTGAAGAAAATAATGACATATAGGAAAATCATAGATAGAAAGAAAGAAAGCAAAGAGAGAAGAAGATTGAAAAAAAAAACTAAAGAAAAGAAAGGTGAAAAAGAAAGGAGGCAAAGAACAAATATGGACAGGAAAAAAGAATGAAAGAAAAGAGAAAAAGATGTAGTGGCAAAAGAAAGAAAGGTAAGAGAGTAATGGAAAAAGAAGGAAAAATGAAAAACCAAGGTGGAAAAGTGAAAAAAAAAAAAAGGAAGGAAACACAAAACAACAAAAATGGAAAGGCAAAAGAGAAAAAAGAGAATGGGTAAACAAGAAAAAGAAGAAAAGACGAAGAGAAGAATGATAACCATTCTTTAAAATCTTTTTCTTTCTTCTTTCAAAAGAAAAGAAGGTCGAAAGAGTAAGATAAGAAAGAAAAATGAAATGAGGAAAAAATGAAGAGCAAAAGGAAGCTAAAGTGAAGGAAAGACAAAAGAAAAAAAGAAAGGAAAGACAAATAAGGAAAAGGAAAAGAAAAATATAAAAGAGAGAAAAAATATCAGAGGAGTAACAAAGTAACATAAATAGAGCATGTGCAAGACACGTTGTTGGGATCTGCAAGAACTGCACACCGGAGTTGTGTTTACGCAGTAGGTGGTGGCAAGATGGAACAGGAGACCCAAGACAGGGCGGAAGCAAGGGAGTGAAAGAGAAAGAGATTAAGGCAAGAAACAAACACATGAATAATCGTGTGAAATGTCAAGGCCAGTGGTGACAATAAAGCCAAAACAAACTGAGTGTATCTTGTAAACAAATCAATTTGATTGTTACCTTCTTGATGCTAGATTGGATGAAGCAATTCATAGATTTAAAAAAAATATCATAAAAATAATAATAATAATAATGATGATGATGATGATGATGAAGGCAGAAATACTGCATTATATTTGCCACCACTACCACAACACCATCATTTTATGTGGTTGTTTTCAAATAAATAAAGAGAAACTCTAATATATCACTCCTTTTGAGCAATCATTCCGCCATTTTGTAAATTGGTAGTTTTGTGTACACTGGGAAAAAAAAAGAAGAAACAATTGCAAATACTGATTGATTTTGATTTAGTTTAATATTATTATTAACAAACAAAATAATAAAAAAAAAACGGAATTCCTCATTGATATTGAATTGTTTCATTTGAGAGGGAAAAGGAAACAGAAGTTAAAAAGTGAAAAAAAACAGAGTGTGAAAAAAGAAGAGAATTAATGTTGGGATTAGAGAAAAGAGACGAGACATAAATAAAAATGACATAATGAAGGATGTGGGGATGAAGGAAAAAAGAGAAAAGTAAATGAGAGAAAAACAATTCTTATGAATTATCTTTGAAGGGGAGAAATCAGATAAAATAGTGACAGGAGGAGGAAGGGGAGAGTACAATAAGAATAGGGTAAAAGACTACTGTTAGCTGAAAAGAGAAGAAAGGAATAAGGTAAGAACAGAAAGATGTAAATGAAAAGGAGAGAGGAAGTCAAATTTTATAGGTAAATTTAACTAGCTGCATTGTTTGGTAATAGTTGATGCAGAATCAGACTGAAATCTGAAGGTGTATTGGAATAGTTAAAAATGCCTTCCAGAAACTAAACAAAGTATTAAGACATAGAAGAATGTAATTAAAACAAAAAGGGTGCTAAACTGCTATGTCATGTCAATCCTTCTATATAGCAGAGAATGCTGGACAATTTCATCACAAATGAATAAGAGACTTGAACAGAAATATGGCTCTCCAAAACAATGCTGAGAATGGCATGAACAGAATATGCAAGAAACAATTTTTTTTAAAAAAAATGGGAATTAAAAGGATACTTATAATTAGAACCAGAATTAGAGAGTTGAAATGTCTGAAATGCATAATGAGAAAAGCATGTTTGGAGAATTTAACACTCACAGGACATATGGAAGGTAAGAAGAACAACAGTGAATAAACTACCTAATGAGTTTGTGTGAATGAATGGCAGAGCAGAGACAAAGAGGGATAGAAAGAAAGTTTGTCAATATTTCTGAGATGAGGTATTGTAAATATTTGCATTATTATTTAAAGGGAGATAACGGAGACATCCAGAAGAGGTATGACATGTGGAACTAGAACAATCTAACCCGCTGGACAAAATAAAGGGCTCAGTTCGAAATTCTAATCACCTGATGAAGGCTTGAGTATACAACAGCCAAAACGTCATGAATGTGACCACAAAGGTGAGGACAACAGTCCAAACAATATAAATAATGGAAAGAAAGTTGTGGAGACTCAAAGGAGACAGTACATAAAAAGAAGAGTGAAACAGAGAGAGGTCAGCAGGTCAAAAAGGACAGATACAAAAAGGGTAAAATAAAATAAAGTGTGATAAAATAAAGCGATATAATGATAATGAAATGAAAAATACATAACAATAGTGAAATCAAAGAATAGATCAATCCCAAAAGACAGGCACCTAAAGAAAACCAGAGAGTTCAGTGTTCGAAACATTGAGGACATCAACCAAGATAAGCATGCTGGTCCAAATAATAATGCATATATGCCTTTTTTCAAATCTTTTACCTCATGCAAGGCAGCAAAGCCACAAAGATACAAGGGGTTACTTAGAATGAAAGAATAAGAAAAAACAGAAATTTTATTAATGAACAAGAAAAATAAAAGAGCAATAAAAATGAGAGTAATAAGGGATTAACATTGCATTTAAATTTCTGAAAATCCAAGTTAGCTGGAAAGTATGGAATCAGAAGAGAGCTCCACCAGTGAGAAATGCAAGAAAAGAAACTGTTAGCACAGAACTTATGGTTACATTCAACTCTAAATTATATCAGACCTAATTGCCAATCTAGTACTGCACATTCATTAAGTCAGGTAAAACAGCAAAGAAGAATTACCATAAAAGTATTTAGAGAAAAGGTTACTATTCTTCTGCTGATTCTTCTTTGGATTTTGTCAAGAATCTCTAAATATATAGCTGGAGTACCAGACCATATCTGCAGCAATATTCAAATCAAGGATGAATGGTACATTTATAAATATGTAAGATAGATTCAGTAGAGAAAAATTATTTAGAATGGCACAATGATGCAAATTTTCACAGTGAACCAACTTTCTTAGCAACAGACCTAGCAATGGATTCAATAAAATTTTCCACTTCGTATTAGCTAGGAATGTTAGTCCAAGAAGGCACAAGTTAATCTCCTGGAGGTTAGAATCAGCCATGCTCATTGGAGGTAGAGAGGGAACTTTCAAATGATTAATAGAGAGAAGGTTTTTTTTGGAGGCAATAAAATTAGCATGTCATTCCTTGCCCCACTTAACAGCAGATTGTAGTTCATTTTTGAGATCTGCTGCCAATTTAACCTCATGGAACTAATCAAACTATTGAGACAGAAGTAAATAGTTGTGTCATGAGCATAGATATTGAATTGAGAAAAGATGCCATTAAGATGTTCATTGTTGAAAATTAAGAACAAAATAGGTGCAAGGGTAAAGCCTTGGGGTCACCTACATTAGTAGAAAAAGATATATGTTGTAGCATACCTATGGACAATAATGAGTATGTCCCCATTCACATAAATAAAATAGTAAATACTGTATGTTGGTCTGCAGTTGGAGATTCATTGTGAAATTCACTTGACTCACTCCTAGCAGTTGACTACTTCTATGCGCTGCTGGCAAATCTTATATGTGTTGTTCATGTCCTAAGTATTATCGTTCATTACCAACCTTTGATTATTCTATTCAGTAATCTTCCCTAGGTTACAATATAGAAGAATGGCTGTTCAGGACAACTTTTATTTCATGATTTGAAGACTGAATCATTTCAAAAAATTTGCCCAGAATTCCTATAACCTTTTAAGAAAAAAAGAGAGAAAAAGATTGGAAGAAAAAAGGTGGGATCAAAAGATACTTAAAAAATACTGAGAAAAAAATAATGGCCTTTAGAGAAAAAGAGGAAAAAAGACAGAGGGAAAAGAGAGAGAGAAGAGAGGAAAAAGAGCAAAAAAGAGAAAAAAAAAGATAATGTGAGAAAAAAGAAGAAAATAAGATAAACAAAACTGATAAAAAACAAGAAAAAGTTAAAAAGAAAATTACATGATAGTAAGATTTAAAAAAAAAAATAAAAATGGAAAAAAAAGAAAGGTATATAGTTGACCAGTTAACCATGCCATTTTAGAAGAAGAAAATACTGAGAGAAAAAAATAATGACCTTGAGAAAAAAAGAGAGAGAAAAAAAGAAGAAAAAAGAGAGAAAGAGGAAAAAAAGAGAGAGAAAAAACAGAGAAAAAAGGGAGAGAAAAAGACAAATAAAAAAAAAGATAGTGTGAGAAAAAAGAAGAAAATAAGTCAAACAAAACTATGTGATAAAGAAAAATGAAAAAGATAAAAAGAAAATTACATGATAGTAAGATTTAAAAAAAAAAAGATAAAAACAAAAAAAAAGAAAGGTATATAGTTGACCAGTTAACCAAGCCATTTTAGAAGTTGATCATTATTGGAGCAAATCAATAATAAAGAAAGCTGATCTGAAATCATTACCCTGGTGGTCATTCCAGTTTCTTGCTACAATTTTCACTACTCCTATCATAAAAATAGTAACAGCGGGTCAATACAAAAA